GATTCAACTCTAGTCACTAAAATGGTCTAGTGGTTATGACACCAGGCTAGTTATCTGGAGATTGTGGGTTCAATTCATTCATTCATTTCATTTATTCATTTTATTTCTCTTGTAATTTGCAACTTAACTACTACAAGTGCCGAGGACCAAGGAGGCCGTAGGCCTGTAATTAAGGTCCCCGGACTAATCTAATGACCTAACTAATAACAATAAATTAAAAGGATTATATAATCGGGAAAAAAAAAAAAAAAGAAAAGAAAAGAATGCAAATCACTTGTCAGGTAGGGAAAAAAAATCAATGCAATAAAAATAAACTTAATTAATTATGACACTGTGAATTGTTTGCAGCAAAAGTACTTGGAGCTCTGGGTCTCAACTTAGATCAGAAAGCCAAGACTTACAATGACCAATATCTTGGTGCCATCTTCCTACTCAACAACTACCATTATCTTCTCAAGTCTTTGCAAAGGTAAGTTTATTTATTATACAGGTCTACCTCCAATTAAAGACCTCTTTTGGGACCACAGTTTCCATGGTCTTTAGTGGCTTTGGTCTCTAATTAGAGTAATAAAAATAAAGACATTTGTTAATTTGGGACCACAGAAAAGTGGTCTTTAATTAGAGGTGGTCTTAAATTGGAGTGGTCTTTATTTAGAGGGAGATCTGTATTTATTTACAGAAGGGTGCATTATTTAGCATACTTGATTATTTGGGATTCTCACACCATTCAATAGATCACAGGTGGGCAAAGTGCGGCCTAACAGCGATTTTTTTTTTGCGACCCACAAAAAATGAATTAAAAACCCTATGTGTGCAGCTCGCTAAGCAAAACTGGCTAGAAAACACCTTGTTTTTTACTGCACAACGCTGAAAGTTGCATTAAAACTAAGAATAATGTGGTGTAGTGTAAATTTGAGGTTTTTGGAAGCTCATTGGAAACATCAAACTTTGGGTGTGGCCTTCGGTGTTAAATCAAAAATTCAATTTGGCCCTCAGAAAACAGTGAAAATGCGTTCTTAATTTAAATATAGTACACATTTACAAATACTCAGTATGTACTACGGAGATATAACATTAATTTTTCTATGATTAGCATTTTGTGATTGATAATTAATTATATAAATATATTTAAAGTATATAATAAGTGATAACATAAAATGTACAGATTCAATGATAAATCAGAATGTTGTATATGTAATTATTAAAAATATATTAAAGCATTAAAAAACTTTTAAACATGTTATAAATCAGACATTTCTAGTCTTAAAAATTCACTGAAGTCAAGATGAAACGCTATAATTTAGTTTGTATGTCTTTATGTTTCTCAGATCAGGTTTAATCCAACTTGTAATGTGCTTCAATCCAGATGTGGAAAGTCATTATGAGCAAATCATTAAAGATCAAAAGGTGGAATACACAAAAAGGTAAGGCATGGTCAAATGATGACAGGACAGGAGTGCCCTCTTTATTCATAGTAGAAAAAATAGATGGGGCAAGTCATGACAAAACTATCATCAGTGACTAAAATATGAAAATAGACTTTTTAATATATTCATATTCTCCACATTATAGGCTTTAAAATGATGGGTCATTTACTGGAATCGACTTTTCTATACTGCCACACTTCTATGCTAATTACTTGGTTAAACATTTAGCTCATTCGGCTAAACTGGTGATAGCCACTGAGTATGTGCTGAACCGTGGAGATATCTATTGTTAATTTTTTGTGCCCGTTTCAATTTCACCCACTGCTTCCCTAGTGTTTCAACTGAAATGCAAGTATAAAAAGCACATGGAAGGACCAAAAGAGGGTGCACTTTTGAAACTTCAATTTCAGACCCGCAGCTAAAACTAAATTATAGCAGCAATGTGAATTAAACAGGGACCAAGTTTTATGTAGAGATGTCTACGGTTCATCACACGCAAAGTGGCTACCACCAGTTTAGCCAACTGTGCTAAGCTGCTTCCTCCTTAGTTATTAAATTAATCTTATAAGTTCATAATAACTGTATGAAGTTTTATTATCATAATATCTTCATTTTACTGTGTTTATTGTTTATTTATATTATATTTTCATTAGTTGGAGCCGTGTAATTACTCAAATTCATGAAGCTAGTCGACCACCATTTTTACTTGAGCGTGAAGCCGGAGGCCGACTGAAAGATCGCGAGAGACAACATATCAAGGATAAGTTTAAGGTATTGTGCCTATATTTGGAAGGTTGATATAAATGTACTTTAAGGAGCATATTGCAGTGATTACTGAACCATTAGAATTAACCCATTGGAGCATCTTAAAATGATATGGTCATTGTAGTGATTAGTTAATATGTAAATTCTTATATGTAAATTGTTCCATGTGCAAATGTTTGTTATTAAAAGGACTGTTATGTAACAGAGCAGTTCAGTACAGTATAGTCAGTTGTTGAGTATACTTCTTGTGTGAACACATCTATTACAATGGCGACGAGGATATTGTAACCACGTTTGCAATAGTTTGATTGTACTGTTAGTATTATTTGGTATGATGGCTGTTCAACAAGGGTTGATGTTTACCCAGATAACTCCATTTGATGTTCGTGGCGAGTCCAGTACATTATCGGTACGTTGGAAAAGATGGCTGGTACGTTTTGAAAATAGTTTAATAAACCGACGATTATCCCACTGAAATATTTTGTAATTAGCCTAAGTATATTGTTATGACCAAGGAAGCAATAAATTGGCCAATTAGTATGCTTTAATTACTTGAAAAATTTAATCATAAGTACTATATTATACTTATCATTTCAGGGTTTTAATACGGAACTTGAAGATTTGTTCAAAGTCCAAAAGTGCTACGCTGTTCCAGACGAGCAGTTGCGAAAAATGCTAAGAGAAGAAAATAAAGCAACTGTAATCAACGCCTACAGAACATTCATGGAAAGGTAAATTGCTGAGTGCATCAAATGCTGAACGCTCTTTCCTATAATGTTATCCATTCGCTACCATGCGGTATTACAAAGTTCTTTCCCATTAGCCACAGCAAACATAGACATTAATAATAATGGTAGACTTACGTAGCGCATCAAGCTAAGGCCTCCATGCGTTTCACAATATTATTACCGCAGCTAATCAGCACATTTGGCATTTTTTTTCAACAAGTTACCCACTTATACTCCTTGGTGGAGAGAAGCAATGCAGATAAAGTACCTTTTCCAAGGACACAAGCGAAATACACAGCGAGGGATTGAAACCCTGACCTCAACGTTAGCAAACCAAACTGTTCCTGCTGTGCCAAACTGCTTCTACTGTAATAAATTGCCTTGCCAAGGGCAGTGTGGCTAATCATTGGTCTCGAACCTATGACCTCTCGATTGAAATTCAAAAAGGCCTATCTCCCCACACAGCTTCAACGCAAAAAATATAATATCATTATTTTCTACACAGATACGCAACAACAAACTTCACCAAAAACCCAGAAAAATACATCAAATACCATCCTGACCAGGTGGGCAGTATGATTGACAAATTCTTTGATGTCACTGCATAAACGATGGTTGTTGCATGGGCGGCTGATTACAATGGTGGCTTAGGTGGGGCACGTGATCGGAAAAAATCTTGACGTCACCGCGTAAACAAGTGAGTCTGATTACAATGATGAATTGGGGGGTGGGGGCAGTATAATTAACAAATTCTTTGATGTCACTGCATAAACAGTGTTGATGAGCTACGATAGTTGTTACATGGAAGACTGATGACCATGGTGGTTGCTTAGGTGGGCCGCATGATAGACAAATCCTTGACGTCCTGTAAACAAGTGTGATGACCTGTGATGATGAGCCTGATTATAGTGATGATTTACAGGGGCAGTATGATCAACAAATTCTTTTCGACGTCACCAAGTAAATAGTTGTGATGAGCTACAACGATCGCTGCATGGCTTTTTATTCAAAATTGTATATAAGTCAGAGTACCGTTCGTTCACATCAAAAAAAAAAAATCAGATTACTAAATATTGCTACATGGTTCTTAAGCTCTTTCTAGATTATCAAATTTTCTTTAGACAAAAAACTGTTGCATGACCGTATATAGTTATGATATGACCATATATAGTTATGATATGACCATATATAGTTATGATATGACCATATATAGTTATGATGTGCCTATATATGGTCATGATGTGATGTCATCATGACCAAATTTTGGCATATCACATATTTTTGTCCAAAAAAATTTGATATTCTGGACACAGCTTTATTTAGTAGGTAGTATGATTCAATTTGTTGACGTCGCCATATAAATAGTTGTGATTGTTGCATGGGTGACTGATTAAAATACTACGTAAGTATTCAATATTATGTCACAGTACTGTTCATTTATCTGAAGAAGATGTCAGGCGATAAATTCTTATACATGTAGCAGGTTGTGTAGTGAACAAAGAATTTATTATAAATTGGCATAAGAAAATATGATATTAAACATTATGTTGCATATATTTTACAAATTTTTATTTGAAAAGATGAGGAATCGGTGATGATATTCTCTTCCACTCTTTCTCATATTTCTCCATGGTGTAACCATAGCAAGAAATTTATCGTGATATCACAAGTAACATATGTGCACTAATTATCTGTTATATATATATATATGTCATGTTAGTTAACTCTGATAGTGCACACTTATTTGCTTAGTATCACATTTGATGTTTGCATTACTTAGTTTATAACATCAGTTATGTGCTTATATGATGATACAAGGAAAGAATAATAAACTGTCTGATGAAGGAATACACCAATGGCCTGTCTTGTTAGTCACCATTTGTTATTTGAGATAAAATAACCTTTTGTGGCTCTTTCTGCTAAGCCCCGCCCCTTGGATACTGTTGCTAAGGTCCGACAAACCAATAGGGAGCTTTCGATTTGTGCAACGACGCGACGCTAAAACGGAATCACTCATGCGTGACTGTCCTACATGGCGTCCTACGTTCTCTGTATATGTAGATTTGACCAAATTGCGTTCCGGAATCTACTCGACGAGGTGACCTTAACATTCTCGCATGCGCAGATGAATTTTAGTGACGTCACTACGTTCTACGTCCTGCCGTCATCATTCAATCGAAAGCTCCCTAATAGCACGTCTGGACGCGTGTATTCTTGGCCCTGTCCTGATTGGTTAGTTAATAAGATTGATTGACGCTCCCATAAGGTCCATGTATATGGGTAGACTACAGGTATTTGCAACATATAACTTGATACAAGTATGGACAGAGATTTATGAAAGATTTTATTGATAGTGTAAACAGTATGTATGATCCATCAGAATAAACAAATATTATAAACATAAATCAATGTCGTGTTGTTTTGTTCTGTTTACATATAATTTCTCTTCAGCGTTATTTACTCAAACAAATTGAGTTTACTTGTTGCTGAGATACCAACATTTAATATGACCTATGTGCATGTTAGAGAAAGATACATTACACTGTTCGGAAATGAGTACTGTAGGGTGTTTCTTTTTGGAGGGCCCAGCTGGAAACAGGTCTTGACTTTCGTTTGTTATTCTTGTTTTTCATTTGTTTTACAACCAGAAATCAAACCAAAATAACCATTTTATATAATATATAAAATGGTTTGACATATAATTATTTACAAGCTGAATGGGGACAGACTATAGCTTTCTGACAAGGCACCAATTCTAATGATAGAGATTTGCAGTAAATTTATTATTGTTTGTTAAACCTATGAAGAAAGTCTTCTAAAATACACAATATTTGATGAATAATACGATGATGCTGTTCTAGTCTAAAGCCCTGATCAAACTATCCAATTTTGTTTGATACAAAAACTGTTGTATGCCCATGTATAGTCATGATGTGTCTATATATGGTCATGATGTGATGTCATCATGACCATATTTGGGCATGTCATATGTTTTTGTCATATAAAATTTGATAGTCTGAAAGGGATTAATACATAAAGCAGTAGGCCTACGAAAGCAGATTTTGTTATCACAAGCGTTTGTATACACAGTACACTGCTTCAGGTGAATTTTCCAGACTGATTGATTTGATTTTAATTTAATAGATCGCACGTTAAGTATTGACGTGGGTTTAAAGAGATGAGTTGTGTTTAAAATATTACCCCACTAATAGTCAACATCCCTTTGGAGCCTTCAAACAAATATATAATGTACGTATTGCAGGTTATTAATAATAATGAACAATTACAGTCTGCTAAATTTAGACTACGTGTCGTACACAATATTTTTGTCTGAAGACGTCTCATTAATACTGTATTGTACTTGGGAATGGTGTTTAGATTTCTCGTATGGCATTCACTTCAAAATGTTGAAAATGTATTTGAATTTTAAATGCGTCATTAAGGGATACGAAACGTTGCGACGACAACGTCATTAATATTAAATGGTATCAGAAACACACACATGTGTAAACTGAACGGATCTACACAGTCATTGGCTATTATTCCATCTGAGGTAAGTGATTAATGCTGTTATTGATGTACAGCACTAGAAAATGGAAAAAGTTAATTTCTTTGAATAAGGTATTAATTTACAATTATACATTTGGCTGAGCAAAAATGTCCCTGTCAATTAACGGACAATTAAAAATACCTTTCCTGTATTCTTTTTGCATAGACCCTTAAATTATACGGTAATTAGTTAAACGATTTTGATGTAGAAAAGTATGTATAAATTAGCGAACACTTTTTTATTGACCTGTTTCAGGTTGGAAGTTTAGACTTATTTGTGATGCTTTTAGATGATTTGTGTAAAATTTCAACTGATTTTTTTTTGCCAAACATTTCATCTTTAATTTGTTTATTATTATTATTATTATTATTATTATTATTATTATTATTATTATTATTATTATTATTATTATTATTGCTGTTGCTGTTTCTTTAGTATTTGGCCTTTCTGTATGTTAGTATTTGGCCTTGCGTATTGTTTAATTTTGGTAGAATCGAAGTAAGATGACGAAGTAGGGATGTAATTATCATTAGCCGTTGTCAATTCCACCTTTTCTACGTCCAGTTAACAATCAAGTACCATACTTAAGCACGACTACAGAAATTAAACTGGTAGATTATGATGATATGAATCTGCATAATGCAGAGTAAAAAAGTAGATCGCTACGATAGGATTACTTACTATTGGATGATTCAACATCCATTAGAAGTGTCATCATCAAGGATATGTATTTATTATTGGCTCGCCACTGCTCGATGGGATGCTACTTTACCGCTTGCCGAAACAATATCGAAATTATTCTCAAAGGAGTTCTGCTGACTATGATATGAATATACATATCACGTGGGTCGCTAATGTATGCTATCCGTCAGTAATTTGTTTTATTACCAGATGTGCAGATGTTATGTTGGAGTTGATTTGCTTATGAATTCGTTGTTTAGTCGTTCCTTCGCTGGATTTTAATAATGTAAGTTTCTGAGACTTACCACACTATTCGACTATAGAATAACCATTCAAAAGAGTTAGTAGGATGTTGTCAAACTGCATCGCTCTTGCTAAATATAATAACCATATGTAGCAGAGACTATAATTTGGTATCTCTCGTAAAAGCATGTATGGATAAAACGTGTAGTTTGCTAAATAGTAGGAAGCTTTCGATTGCACGACGACGGTAGGACGTAGAACGTAATCAGGGTCGGATCCAGGTGATGGGGGGGGGGGGGGGGGGGGGTCACAGCAGTTTTAGATAGATAAGTGAGTAGCGCATAACATTGATATGCATTAAAATTTTGTAAAATTTAGTGGCTGTTGTAGCCTAACAGCTGGCAGCAGAGGCGGATTAGAGAGTGTCTAATTTATTATATTTTAGTTTAAAACAACTTTTCATTCAATTTAGTCGCAAGTCAATATGGACATTTCACCAGTCTAAACTTGCTTTGTCGATATTGTTATATTTTTTTTTCTCAAATCAAAACACATATGCCAAGTATTATTTATATTTCGTGTAAATTTGTGTTGATATATAATAACTATTCTATAACCAAGGCATACTGATCACTATATTATATATATATATATATATATATATATATATAAAATAAGCGATAGCCAATAAGCAGAGTCTAGGTTACGAGCAGAGACAGATGTGTATAAGAGACAGATTTTTAACTTTAATATTTTCAAGGCTTATAAAGCTAATTTCTAAACATGAACATGAACTTACATGAACTTGTTTCACGTTTTAGTCTTAATTATTGTGATCTGAATTCACTCCGGAGAGGTCTCCCGCAGGTAGACCTATATAGTATAACATATGCATATATTTAATAGTCCTTTGTCGTTTTCTAGTGTGCCGTTACGGTTTTGATTTCTTTTCTATGCCGTTCTTTGTTGAGAAGAAAGGTTTTGTTTAATTTAACCACAATAATAATATTGACCTAGGCACCGAATGTAACACTGTAGTGAGTCTGCACCGGTATACTTGAGTCTTCCTAGACGGTGTCTTTGACTAATAGTAATAGCAAATAGTTTCCGGAGGAGAACCGTTGACAAGTGACATCAACATCAACTGGCATAATTGGTATGTTCTATTGTACAGTAGTAATCATTTAAATGCCTCGGTGAACATTCGTGGTTTATTGCCGAACCACACAGGGTCTTAGACTAACTTATACGAAACTCACATTCTCATACAAATTCGGCTATTTTAATTAAAAATGGTAGTGAATTCCCTTTAGACACCTCCAAGGGAGAGGGTTAGAAAGTTACTTCTCTAAGTACTCAGTACAACCTTTTCGTATTATTTTATTCTCTTTGGGAATTGTCGAAAATGGTAGAATAATTATGTACGCATCAAAGCAGCTGGGGTAGGCTATAGTGTGTTTGTAGGTGTTATTCTTTATGTTGTGGCTGTTGTTGGTGGTGGTTTTCATATGACTGTGCCAGTATTAGTAATAGAGTTATTGGTAAGCTGATTGGTATAAAACGTAAAGGCATTTGCTAATACTAGGCAGTTTTAGAATGGTACTATTAATAAATTTTGATATAGTGTTGCAGTTTAATGTTGGGAAAACAAATGAATGGCCTAGTACCGTAGGGTGTTGACTAAACTTTAAATAGGACAGGGCAGTGTATTTTAGTTACCCTGCCTTATAAAAATATTTTTGAGAGCAATATAAAAACTATTGTCGCACTCTTAATAACTGTGCTTGTTGGCATAGCCTATCATTTTATTCATGGTTTCTTGGTTCTTTTGAAACGTTTGGTTAAAATGAACGAGTATATCTTAGTGTTTCACGGATGGATTAACGTAGTGTGCTGCTATATTGTTGGACAGAAACAAACGGTTGCTTTTGGAATGGTTAGGTCTTTGAAGGCAATTTGATGAAGGTTTATTGAAAGAGGTACAACTTCTTCTTATTCAGAATTGATAATTAGTAGCAGAGAGTCTAGCAGTGAATCCAAAATACAGGATGCATTCGAAGACTTGATAATAATTTCCTTGATATCTGTTTCTGGCAGAGTTTCAAAGGTTCCTTATATTGTAGTGCGTAGAGTCATGCTGAGTAGCGTTTTGAATTTGAGGACGGTCGCCATAATTATGAGGAATAAAATGCCGTAATCTACTGAAACAGTCGGCCTGGTGCTATGCTGGTCTTAAATTAAGTTGCAAATTTGCTGATAATATTATTATTATTATTATTATTATTATTATTATTATTATTATTATTATTATTATTATTGAGAAGATTCGCCTTATAGGCGCGCCGATGTAGAGATAATTACCGAAACAACAAAAAAATGAAACATTCTTAATGTGTTTTCTACTTTTAGTTTACAGGTTACTGGTATTAAAATGACCGAGGATTAAAGATCGTTTAATGGCTTCGATATTGTCCCGACGGCAGCTGATAGCTGGCTTAGTAGCGGTAGTGACATTTACAGTTCTCATTCTGTCCACCAACACGAACCTAAATCTTCAAGGAACAGCGCCACTGCAGAATGCACGTAGATTACACCCATCGAATATACACAAAGTAGCCGCAATACCCACGGAACCGATCGATTTTAGCTCCAGTTCTTATGAGGCAGATTTCTTACAACAACCAGACGACGCCTTCTCCATGCCTCCTGCGTTCGCAGCTAATAATGTTAATGCAACTTGGGGTAAACAAGGTATATTTTTGGGGGAAAAACTGACATCAACTGATGTAAAAGAGAAAGGCTCATCTCCTGTTCAATATTATGATCATAACAAATATCGACCTTATTCTCCAGGAAAGGCGCAAATCCTTCACTACATTGACCGTCAGTTTCCCACTAAACTTAAAAAGGAAGTTACTACACAGATTGCACAGTTTAATCAACATAATAACGTTAAATTTTTGTCACTACCAAATGGAAGAATGTGGTACGTTTTTACCAACATAATGAAGAGTCTAGGTTACGAGCAGAGACTACCCCTGGTGATCTTGATTGGCGTAAAGAAAAGTGGCACAACAGCTCTGGGATATTTTTTAGGCAAGCATCCACAAATTTCACATTCATTTGGTAACGAGATACATTTCTTTGATAAACCGGATAAAATGAAGAAGGGGATCGATTATTACCGTTCCAAAATGGGATTTTCAAATGTAGACCAACTACCTTTTGAAAAGACACCTAAATATTTTATTACCAAAGACGCTCCAAAGGCGATTTTGAAAAATCTTCCGAAAGATATAAAATTCATATTGTGCGTACGAGATCCTGTGGAGCGCGCAATATCCGAATATCATCACGATACTGAATATGTATTAAGAAGAAAACAGAAGTCAGAGTTATTAAAAGCAAAACAGAGATCACCTGAAGAACAAGGAAAACTATTTACTGAGAAGTTTATCAGCCCACAAGGTTATGTATACCAGAATCGGACAACAACGGACACAAGTATTTATTCCAAACATTTAAAAAACTGGCTCAAGAAATTCCCTCTTGACCGTTTCTTGATAGTTGATTTAGGAAGTCTTCAAAGAAATGCATATGTCGAGTTGAAACGCATTCAGGACTTTCTTGGGCTTGTTCCATTCTTTACCCCTAGTATGATTTACCGCTCGGAAAAACGTGGAACCTGCTTGAAGATAAACCGTTCGTTAAATTGCCCTGGAAGAAGCACACCAGGTTTTACACAGAAAGCAAAGCTTGGCAAAAAGGAATTAACAATTATGTACGATTTTTATCGACCTTACAATCAAGAATTTGCTAGATTAACAGGAAAACAGTTCAATTGGATGCAACTTTAAGATGGGCAGTAATAGGCCTATTTTCAAAAAACTGAATATATTTTGTACTACACTTTAAACATTATTATTTTAATTGAGCGGATTATGTTCATCTCTCACGTTGAAGTTGAAAATGAAGTTCACGCCGCCACGCTCACCTCAGACCCACCATGGTTGGTGTAAATAAGTGGTAAATAATCGAGCTCTCCCTTCACCCACTCCTGGATCGCCATTGAACTCATGGGTCCACTCCTTCTGTTTTCCTCTTTTCTCTCATTAACTGAAATTTTTCTCCTTCTTTTTTATTTTTCGGCTTGACTGACTGGGGGGGGGAGGGGGTGTGCACGGGCACTCATGCGCCCCCCCCCCCGCTGGATCCACCACCGAAAATAATGCATATTTCTAAAAATGGTCATTCTTCATAAAAAAATATTTTCAGGTACTCTAATTTATTATTGGGCTTAATTCACAGAGTGAAGAAAGGTGGGGATCAGACCACCTAAAAATGAAAATGGATAGACCTATATCTAAGGTCATGTGTAATAAATGTGTAATATTTTACAGTATATCATCATAACGTGATTAATAATTAGGAATACTCCACATGGAGAGCAGAGGAGTTTGTACGTTGTGTATAATTGAATCTATATCGATTGACTAAGGAAAAAAGTGCCTTGAGCTGTTTTTCGAAAATGTATGCGCTATGTGTGTTATATAAATCAAATTCTGTAAAAAATGAAAAAATAAAATTTTTAAGAGATAGTGAACCATGAACATGGCTGGTAGGAGATTGATGTACATGAAATATACGTAACCCGTCTTGGATATTTGAATAAAATGCTTCCATTCGATCAGTTTCTGATGACCCATTCATTTCAAAAGTTGTCCGTTGTACTAAAATAATGAATTGTATGGACATCATTGGTGCTATCATCACATTCCTCTTGTAACTTTTAAAATTTCATTCGACAACAGACATTATTATTATTACAAGTCATACGAATAAGAGTAAACTAGTCTCATAGGCCTACATTACAAAACTCACGCTAAATTGTTCAAAATTTAAAAAAAAAGCAAAAAAAAAACAAAAAAACGGAGATGTAAGAAAATATATACTCAAATTTTAAATCTGAGAGTGAAATTTTTGGCCATCAGGTGCCATAATCACGAATGTTCTTACCTCATCACCAGCTATGGATGGGGCTGAGGTGGTATAGATCATCCTCCCTCTGTGAAAATACCTCCCGGGGACCATTCTATTTTGAATTCCTGGATCCGCAACTGAAATTATAGCGCTATTTCATGACGATGGGAGCTTCGCCTTTTCCCCAAAAGAGAATTTACAATACAATTATTAACAGGTGAATTTTCTGTGCTATAATTCCTGTAACTATTACACCAACCAGGGAACAGTGAAATTACTTCCCTGCACCAACAAGGCAATGGACCTTTCTCGAGTGTCAATCAAACTTTACAACTGACCAATCAGAACAGGAGTGCAAATGTCACACGGGAACACACGTGGTTACATGCGTTTGCGCAGTCGTTTTCGACTTAGTGACAATATCCAAGGGGTGGTGCTTAGTGGAAAGGTCCATTTAGCAATCAATCAATCAATCAACCATCATAATTATATAATTAGAGTACCGTATTTATTTGAATAAACGCCCCGCTTTGAATAAACGCCTTCTCGAATAAACGCCCCCTAAGAGCCTCATTTGGAATACGGCCTCCCTCGAATATACGCCCCGAGGCGTTTATTTTTTCCTCGAATAAAAGTCCCCCGTAAATGGCTGTAAACGAATCTAATGGAAAAAACATCATTCCCAACATATGCTATAGCACTCCAGTAGAATTACATTTTTGTTTTAACCTGGTGGGATCAATAATCAAGTCATTTGACGGATGGCGGTAATTAATTCTAATAAATACGGTATTTTTTAATAGCGTCTAGACGTGAATCCAGTGAATAATGTTCATAATCAAAGATCAATCAAAGATCAATCAAATCAATTATGTAATTACAATAATGTCGTGAATCCATTAGAAATTATCGAACGAAATCATCCTCGTCATCATCATCATCATCATCACTACCATCAGCAGCAACAACAATGTCATCATCGACAATAACTTCATCATTATCACTTAGTGATATGCTTTTAATCTTTCTCTCATTATGATGTCATTCTTCTCTAATCGATTCAAGTAGTGTTTTTGGTGTATACATTTATACCTCCACGCTGTATACCTATTACCTAAAATTAAACTTAATACTATCGGGAGGCTCTCCCAACAATAAAACAGGTCAAAATTCACTTAAAAAAGACATTATGCAAATGCATTAATAGGCCTATATTACATTCTAACGCGATGGAGACCGGTCAAATTCAAGTAGGCCTACTACTTTACTATGGAATCATTTAGATCCGATTCTACTTTTTTCTTTATCAACCTCCTTTTATTTCTCAAATAATGAAGCCAAACCAACACAACCGTCAGTTGACTTTGTGAAACTCTCTTGCACCAATAGAAGAAAAGGATCTTTGTTGGATCATTGGCCTGCAGCATTGAATTGTAACTAAGAAAGCAGCGTTTTTCTCATGGCATTAAAAGATTTCATGGTAAAGAGGATAGGCATGTTTTTCTTCATATTCATATATGTTTAATCCATAAAAAATAATACGAAATGCAAGATTTAATGCAATTTTCCCCATACGATTCAAATCGATGTTGAACACGTAATATAAAATATTAATGTTGATGCAAGAGGCCCTAATATTAAACAAAACGGAACTTGAATATAAAAAAACCATAAAATAATATGCCAATATTTGTTCATAGTTTATAATAATTAGAGTAATGCATATGCATTTTTTCTAAACAAAGTTTTTAGTGAAATTTTGACGGGAATGGGGCTTTAAAGCTGATGGCACAACAAAGCAGAGGTTAACAAAAGGCCTAATAAACAAAACGGAACTTGTATCAAAAATATAAAAAAAATACCAATGCAAGATTTATTTATATATTTAGGCCTATTTGTTTATTAATATTTTCTATTTTTTAAATTTATTTACAGTAATTATTTATTTATTTGATTTTTTTATATAACAATAAGATAATAATTTATGTGCAAATATAAACAATCCCAATAAAAACATTAACAAATAACAAGTAGGCCTACAGAATTAAAAAAAAAACTATTATAAATAAATTATTAAAAGTATTAGAAAATTCATTGATATAATATCAAAAGACTTTGAAACTATTAAAAATGAAAATAACAATTAACGTTTTTGTTTGCGCAAAAAGAGAGTATGTATAAATGCTCAATGAAGAAGATAAAAAAAAAAAGCCGCTCTGAATTATTATTGAATGATTATTGATTGATGACCTGGCAACACAAAAAAAGTAAAACCGACGCCACCACCGCCGCCATGCTCTAAATCCCGTGCAAGAGAAGAGCGAGGGAAATTGTGATTAATTCTCATTTTAATTATTCGTATTTGACTAGTGTTTTCATTACAAAATGGGAAGAAAGAAAAAGAAGGTTATGAAGCCATGGTGTTGGTATCCTTTTATATAAATTGTAACCACTTATTGTTATATTTGTTTGTGTTTTTTGGGCCTGGCGTAGGGCCTAGGTAGCTAGGTAGACCTAGGCCTAGCCTAGGCCGAGACGAATCCGGCCTAGCTAGGCGAGACCTAGCTTAGTAGGCTAGCTAGCTAGCCTATCTAGGGCCTAGGTCTTCACCTTTAGGGGCCTAGTAGGGCTAAGCCCTAGGCCTATATCCCAACTACTAGGCTAGTAGTAGGACTAGGTTGATTTATGTATAGTAAGTAGGGATCAGGTGCCATCCATGAACCGCGGGTATAATGTAGGCCTAGCCGAGGTTGAATATCTTCTTAATTAGCTAGAAACAAAAAAAATTGAAATGTCCCAAATATTTTTTTATTTATTTTTAACAGAAATACATAACTGAATGAAGCATTTTAAAAGAAAAATTATGTAAATCGGACCAATATTAGCGGAGATATTGCTATTTTAAATATGTTTTTTGCTGGAGTTAATTCCTATCGTTTTTATTATACAAGAAGTGTGTCCCTTACAGTATAATTATGTAGCATTTTAGGCCATGTTAAAATAATACTTGGCAATTACTAACGATTATAATTTAGTATTTTAGTATATATATTTATATTAGATTTAATAATTTTTATCAATTATTTATAGATTCTACGTATAATAAATTATATTGAATCGCATAACTCTAGGCCTAATTGCAGGCCTCAGACAACATAGTGGCCAGCGGGGAAAACATCGTTTACCCCGCGTATATATATAACGAGGGCGCCCTCTATTCGTACGAGCCGAGCCTAGCTGCGGTACGTGATAAGACAATAGAATTTTATGCCATCTATTTCAATTAATATGCTCACAAATATTATTTAAAACTTACTTTATAGTTTAAAAACTGAAGAAAACAACATGTTAACCAAAAAACTAGCGAAGGTTTCCTTTTATTATTGAAAATCTACGAAACATTGGTTGTACTAAAAAAACTTCTACTAAATCGATTCGCGCATTTAAAAAGCCAATATCTTGGTCCAGAAATCATTTCTGGAGTGTTATCTGGAAGTAATTCGGTCAAATTGTTGTATACTTCCGCGAAATACCCAGTTAATACATTGGATATCCTATCTCCGTCGGGGCACTATTTTCTATCGCGATGTTTGTATTGCCGATCTATAGCGCCCTCTATCGGTTTTGTATCTAGCTATCTTAACGTTTTAACCCTAACCATAACTCATTGCAGAAGATATTCGACCTCGGCTACATACCCGCGGTCCATGGATCCCACCTGATCCGTAATTAGTATGTACTTATGTGTGTATATGTAATGTATTTTGAACACTGCATGCCCAACTCAAATGTAGGCCTAGCCTACTGTAGTCTTTGATTATTTTTCAGAAAGTGTTTACCTTAACCTTTGAAATCTCAGGTATTGCAACCGAGATTTTGACGATGAGAAGATTCTTATACAGCACCAGAAAGCAAAGCATTTTAAATGTCACATCTGTCATAAAAAACTGTACACTGGTCCAGGTTTACAAATCCATTGCATGCAGGTAATCCACTCCTCCCATCATATGCAAGATACAGTATCACACATGAACAAAATCATTTCAATTATTAACATACTTTCATATTTTGTATTAAGATTACTGAATATGTTTTTGTATAATATGAAATTCTGTGTATATAGAATTGTAGATATAGGTCTTCTTTATTTGACTATATACATGATCTTAAGTATTTATGGCTGTGGTTGTAGCAGACTTAGTGAGTACCCAGGTGTGTTAATTCCATTCAAATAATATTTACCAAAAGTACATAGGCCTGCTATATATACAAATATACATCCCTTGGTGTTTTGTAACAAATCTTACAGTACGCCGTGCAGTCACTGCGTCATAATCGTTGGCCGATGAATCCAACTCCATTTCTTGTTATACAGTAAAATTAATAGATTAGAATGTGGCTACAATTCAGATTTATGTACGTCACATGATAAAAACATTCCAATAATTTGTAGGCCTACATGTACAGTAATAAGCAGCACTCATGAATAAGTGCCTCTTTTGAATAATCACCCCACTGAAGCCTCCAAAGAGTTTATAAACACTGCACCTCTTATTGGGTCATTCCCAGTAATGTCTAGATAGAGATATATTTTTTGCATGGTATGCCACTCCACAAAAATGTAATTTATGCAGAAATATTAACAAGTACTGTAAAATATTTTTTTAGGTTCATAAAGAAAATATTGACAAAGTTCCAAACGCTGTTCCAGGGAGGCATGATATTGAAATCGAGATTTATGGAATGGAAGGGATACCAGAGGCGGACTTGAAGAGTCATCAAGAAAAAGTAGCTGGTATGAAATGTTAGAATCCATTGAAATAAATGAATAACCGGGTGAAAGAAAGGAAAATTTGAGAGTGGATATGAAATATTAAAGTTGCAGAGAATCGGGAGAAAGATTAATGGTGATCTAAGAATTTCACCTGACCTAATAATATATATGTAAATTTCTTCGAATTAGAGCAAAATAATAAAAAATTACTTGCTTTTATGTTGATTTTGGATCGGAACTTACGCCTTGTTCAACGATGTGTTTTTTTACAACCAGTGAGTGGCATATCTAAATGTCTTAAAATTGGGGGTGGGGGTGTGAATTGTGTATGTGCGGTTGAGGACCATATCCTTACAACCAGTGGCATATCTAGGGGTATCAAAATGGGGGAGGTTGGGTTGGTAGGGGAGTGCGAAGGTAAGGTTGGAGGGCACGATGTTGAAGTGAGGTAGTGCTAGCTGGCAAAATAAAGTAAGATGGTAGTTTTTAACTACTTTAGCGTGATTGTTTTGCTTCAAAGATTTCCAGGATAAGCTTGTTTTTTTGGAGGGTGTGGGAACCCCCCAACACACCCCCTAGATAACCACTGCTTACAACCACCAGTGTCAACAATCCTGATTATTTAAGTAATTTCTGTAGGTGATGAAAAAAAGAAAGAAGAGAAGAAAAATTCTCAGGAACCAAGTACCTCGCAGCTTACCATTCCTGTGTCTGCAATGGCAACGATGGCAAAAATGCCAGGAATGATGCCAGGACCAGGTATGATGGCTGGCATGATGCCAGGACAGATGCCGATGCCACCAATGCCTCCTATTCCTGGAATGCCAGGGATGCCTCCATTTGGAATGATGCCGGGGTAGGAATTTTACATTTCTTATACAGATGAAAAACAAGCTTTAAAAAAATTTAACAAAAGATCTATACATAACCGTACATACAGGTATGTCTTGGGTTCAGTCCTAGAAAAAGAATTATTCTTGCAATCAACAATATCTTTTACAACCCTCATAAATAGACCTGGTTAATTAAGCTTTGTGTACAAATACCTAGCTTCTGTAGATGACGCCCTCTAATATTATAGGGGTTTCAATTTTTTATCTTTGTCGTAAAAGGATGCACACATTTATTTAACCTTTCCCCAGCATTTTATTTTACTCAGGAAAGTAAACTGGATCTGGAAAAAATGAGTTGCACCCATTAAGGGACATAGAGGCAGTCCATTGGAAAATATGTGCTATATTAATGGCGCATTATATTATTGTTACCTTCGCCAAAGAAGGTTATGTATTCACCGCTGTCGGTTTGTGTGTATTAGCAAGGTTACGCAAAAACTATTTTATTGAATCATTATAAAATTTAGTGGAATGTTACTTAATAATCTAAGAAAGAGATGATTACATTTTGGGAAGAAAAGGCCAAAGAACAAGGGCAGGGTCATGAAAATTTGATTTTTTTAGCCTCGAGCATAAAAGAAAATAATGGAAACAGCCATACATTCAGCTGCCTGCGTATTGTTCAGTATTCAGGCACAGGGCAGAGG